TGTTCTGGAACAGTGTTGTAAATACAACTTAACCACTGATTTCTAGTCGTGTCCTCTTTTGGAAGACCAGTAGGTATGTGGGGGCGTGTTAGAACGAGCCATTTTAGGTAGGTGTGGCTGACTCTTAACTTCTATAAAGAATATCTCTTTGGATTTGAGACTTTAGTCTTTGCAACTTTACAGATCTTCTTTATGCACCAAGAGCTTGTAACACTCCAAAGAGAAAGGAAAAATTGAAATCGCATCATATGACCCCTTTAATAAGTACCAATAAACAGCCTATATGCTACCACATTAGGGTTATGCTACAAAACATAAACAATATGAACTAAGGGTTGTACAAATATACAATTTGCGATATTTTGCAAATACATTTTGGTGTGGCTACTAGCACTGAAATTATACACTTCATTTTTTTTTTTACATTTTATGATTTATCTGATCCGACTTTCATTATAGATCAATATTTGATCACCTTAAACACTGTGCTCGGTTTTTAACCATTCAACCTGTTTTCCACCTTTTTGTAGCTACATCATCCGCTCTGATCCGCTGGCACACGTCCCTGAGAATCTCCCAGGGGCTCCGGCCGGAGCCAAGCTACGACAAGACTATGGACCTGAGACCAGGGATGAGACCCATCTGTAAGAACTGGAATTTCTTGTTAACCCTCCTTCCCTCCCTCCTCTGCCTTGAGCTGCTACAGTCTGCATGAAGAGTGACAGGACACACAACCGACCGACCACACAAGACACAACCCATGTGCCAACACATTCACTACCCAAGCTGCCCAACGGCTAGAACTGTACTACTGAAACACTTTACAGATTTCTCTTTTTTACGACACAGATATATAGAATCTCGTGGCACATTTCAGACTTCTCTAAATGCGGCTGGTCATTACATTTTTGTATTTTAAGATTTGGCTCAGTGCGAGTGTTGAATCACTTTGGACCAAACAAGCTGTCCAAGCACTTTGGATTTACAGGGCAGTATATATCAGAAATAGTAAAGCAGTGTTCAAGAGGGCAGCTAAGGACAGAAGGAAGAAACAACTATTACGCCAGTAAGCTGACCCAAACACTGGATAGTGCCCTGTCATACATGCAAGGTGTTTCAGTATGACATTGAACAGAATTAGTTTACATCAGTGCTATATTTTGTACATATATAGCACAAATATAGTATATATAAATATAAGTTAGCCACATATTCTTTACATGCTCAGTGACCTCTTAGTATTCACAGTATTTTGTTGTGATTTCGTCCTCAAAGCACAAAGGGTTTTACGTTTGAAACTGCTAATCCCAAGCTGAAACTTTTACATGATTGAACACCATGATGATTTACTATAAATCGCTGCCAGTTATCACTACAAATGTTATCATAAACCAGTTTACATGTGCCGAGAACAGAAGCTAGATTAATTGCCATACAATTTCAAATTTAAAGCAAAAAATGGAACATATTCTACAGCAAACACATGGTCCTTCTGAAGATTGACAGGAACTGTACTGCACCAGCAGAAATGTGCTTCAAGTATTTCATGGATCTTGATTAGGTGTCATTGAAGAGATGCCAAATGGTAATATACAGTACATAAGATCAATATTGAAATTATGTTTGGGTTATACATTAGAAAATATTAGATGTAATACATACTGTTGGTAACCATTGTTTTTCAGTGATATTTTGCCTCAAAGCTAATAAGTGTTTTTGTTTGTCATTTTAATTATTATTTCGATGTGCACAATGTACATGTTACTGCTCAATTAGGACAAAAAGGTATAGCTATATATCGCTCTATATAAATATATATAGAGAGAGCACGAGGGAGAGTGCACATTTGAATTTGCCGATTTTATTGCACTAAGCTCTGCTGAGCAGTACATAGTAACCCTTTAAACTACATAAAAACATAAAAAATGTTATATTTCACAATACATTAGTTTTTACCTTCTGTATTAAGATATTCCATGGTTCATTGTCATTTCCATCAGTATATGGAGCTGACATTTAAAGCCATCATGGAAAGCTGCTTTTGTTTTTACTGTTTCTATTTTTTAACAGATGTATTCATCTTTCACTGAACAGAAAATGTGAATGTCCACTTCATGCAAAGTAGCTAAGGTTGAATATCTCTCATATCATTCTTACCTGTTTGTCTCCACAAAGAAATGTGATTGATGACAGTAAAAGCAATGAAATGGGAATCCTTGTAGCTATTATGTTTAAAATATTTATTTTATAATTCTGTATTATTCATGTTTATTGCGTATTTAAGGCGTTTTCTGCCTTATTTTGCTTCTATTGATCTGGCATATCAGTTTATTTACTGCTTAGCTCCAAGACTGTCAGTAGTAATTGAATGTCAACCCTTGACATGTCGAGCAGAATACTGTACAGTTCATCAGACTATATTCATGTTTTTTGCTTGTGTAAAGATGTTGTCACCTACATTGTCCATTGGTCACTGTTTTCTCATGCAGATTGCTTTGGGAATGTTTTTTAAATAATGTTTTCCTAAATTTCCAGCCATAATTGGAAAGGATATGCATAATGTGCATGTTGAAAACAGCCTGCAGATTCCTCTATTTTTTACTAGTTCCCTGAGATTTAAATCTGATCGGCTGATCACAGCTGTTGTAATTTACAAAAATTTATTTGTGTTATTTTTTCCAGTAGTTTTAGAAAAACATGGACCATGCATGTCCTAATCTTGCCAAATGTGTCAGAGACCCATGTTTACATTTGCTGGCTCCTGTTTTTGGATTGTGCTGAACAATACATGAACTTCTAAATTTTGTACAATTTCTTAAATGAAGTCTGTACTAACATGTAAGAATGAATCAATAAATGCTGCATGCAGCCAGAGAAATGTGGCATTATTTGTCTACCAATAGATACTTCGACTCTGTTGATGTATAGATACACTCTTTTTTTTTTGCATTTAATAATGCAGTAAAAAATCCAAATGTCTGTACATACCAGGTGCATTTTTTACATTTTTACTGATTATATATATATATATATTATTATTATTTTTCATCAATTGTATATTTAGAAACATACTTCCAGTACCTAATGACTCTGTTTGAGTTTGTGTTTGTTTTTTTGTGTTTGTCTCCACCTGTCTCGAGTCCAGCGCCCGTGATTTTCCACCACCTCATGTAGCAGGTCTATAAAGGTGTATTCGTTGCCCAGCAACAGGCTGTCATCTTTTGGAGAAGCTCCCGCAGGGGGCGCTCTTGAGTCAGACCCTTCACACATCTGACCTTGCCGTCGGTCTCTCTGTGCAGCTTTCCCTGCTCTCCTGGACTGCTTCTGCAATTCTGACGCAACCTGCTCACTTTGGTGAACTCCGTGCGCTTTTGTTTTCACGCTCTGTATTTTCTCAACATCGTCTTTGTTGTTTATCTCCTCTCCAAAAGCAGGCTTCGACTTGCTGCCACCAAATGATGGATTAAAAATGCTGAACAATTCAGAGCAGACCTCACTTTCATCAATTGGCGAGTTCTTGGAGGACAAGTCGGAAAAGATGGTCGACTCGAGACCTGACGTCCAAGTTTCCCCATTTGTAATAATTCTGCCATCCTCCCTTGGTGATATATTAGTTTTCGAGAAGCATTCTTTTGCACTGAAATGCAGGACTCTTTGATTGGATGACTCAAGACTTGCCCTGTAAGTGTCCTCATCAATAGCGACTCGGACATCTTCCATTGGGGACGTGATTTCAGGCAGAAACTCCAGTGCCGTGAACTGTGGGGCAGTTGGGAAGATTGCAGGAGAAACGCTGGGTGGAAATGGTCTGATTTCATGCCTGCAACCAGTTACAAATATTAGTTGTGGGAACACATTGAGGACTTGTTGATTTTGAGCCCACTGCTTCTTCCACTGGGCCGCAGTCGGAGGCCAGGTCAGTACCCGCCGAATAGGTCTTAACGGTCCAGATGTTCCTTTAGCACTATTCTGATCAACCCCAGTGGTCTGGTTTTCTGGATCAGCACCGATCGTGAGGTACGGCAGGTTTTCATCAGGCTCCTCAGACTGGGACGTGTCGCGTTTTACCTGGAGAACATCTTGACTGCTTCCTGCTCCAACAGCCAACTCGTTCAGGTGATCCAACACATTGTTCTCCACACTATGCTGAAGAACGTCTTTATCTACACTTGTTCCGGCTCGAACACTCTCATCAGTATCTTCATTTTTCTCCCTAAGGTCCTCATGTGATTCCAGAGCGTCAGTGGTGTTACTTACCTCAGTGGATCCCTCTTTCTCCTCATCTGCTATGCGTTTTCCATCCTCCAACTTTTCCACCTCCTCAGTATTAACACACACATAGTCTTTTGTTTTTTCTGAGATCATCCATCCATTGTAATACTCATCATTCCCAACTTCATCAGTGGCCGCTTCTGCTTCTGTCGGTTTAGAAAACATCTCCATCCTGCACAAGACCGGCCCGGCAGATCTCACTCGTTTAATGGGTTCTCTGGTGTCATATGGCCCTGATGAATAAATGTGGTAAATCTGTGATATCTTCTCATCTCCAACCACCATCTGGTTTGCCCTCAATAACACTTCTGTTGTGGCAATTTGTGTTTTATTAGCGATTTCAGATTTCACTTTTCTGTTATCTTCTCCATTGATTTTTGCAGTTGATTCACTGGTTTGAATAATTTCGGATTTCTCTGAAGCAGGTTTTACAGCCTGTAGATGTTTCCTCTCTCGTTTCCTGTGATACAATGCTGAAAGGACACAGATGACAAGTACCAGGGCACACAGTACCACTGGTTACATAATAAAAGGTTAGTCATCGACAACACAAGCTACCGGACATGAAAGTTGCCCAGCTGAGGGCTGAATTAATGCCATGAATTAGTTCCACCTACCAATAAAAACGATTAAAGTCGAGTGACCAGTTGTAAGAGGTTTGGTTATTAATACAGTTGCAGGGTTCCCGGTGCCAGGACTTCCAGTGGTAAGACTCATAGTGGCAAGACTTGTAGTGGTAGGGCTCATGGATGTGAGGGTTTTACACTCTGGTACCTGCCATACTGGTACACCTTTCAAATCAGGAGGGCTATTGCAGCACACCAGCATCTCATTCTCCAGAAGAGAGGCATTCTGCAGCCCTGCAAGGATTTATCAGTCATTTAACATTTCACCCAAAAATGAATATTTCATCAGCATTAGATAAGTACAAGATGGGAATGAATGCATACCTCTCAGGTATTTGGCAAAGTCGTTCACAGAGCAGGAGCAGTCCCAGGGATTTCCATCCAAGCAGATCTTTGTGCCGTTAAGTGGAAGAAACACATCCGTACTCAAATGTGTCAGTTTGTTGTTGGACAGGTCTAACTGCCTCAGTTTACTGAGACCGAGAAAACTGCTTGGGGTTATAGTGTGAACCTGGTTCTGAGACAAGTCTAGGTTGAGCAGGTTTGACAGCCCATAAAGAGAACTACGATCCAGTGTAGTGATTTTATTATTTGAGAGTCTGAGTGCCTCAAGTGTAACCTGATGGCTGAACCAGTTTGATGAGACTTGGGAGAGACGATTATGGTCCAAATTGAGAGTTTTGAGGTTTTGAAACATATCAAAGGTCTGCGGTCCTATTGCTGTGATACCTTGGTGTGCCATAGTCAGACTGTTCACAGAGGACAGATTGGTGCTGTTAAACATAGACAAGCTGATTTCTCCTAAACCACTCACAAAGATAATCATAGAAGTCAAACCAGCAGGATAATCTATAGAAAAAAAAAAATTACAAATGTTGAAGGGAAAGTTCATCTAAAAATAACATATCAACACATCATTCAAAACCTTTATGACTTTCCTCTATAGGACACATAAGGAGATGTTGGGCAGAATGTTCAAGTTACACTTTTCCAAATAATGAAAGTCAATGTTGACCAGGGCCCAGGCAAGATTTCCAGTGAATAAGTAAAATTTCAGTCAGTTTTGCACATAAAGCAGCTTTATAGCATCAGAAGACTTGGAATATAGTGCATGAGTTGTAGAGATCATTGGTTTTTTTTAGTGCCGTCAAACGATTAATCGCATCCAAAATAAAAGTTTTTGTTTACATATGTTTGTGTGCTGTGTATATTTATGTATATATAAACACACACACATGCAAATATTTCAGAAAAATGTTTATATATTATATTTATTTATAATAAAAATTATATGAATATTGACATGTAAATATTTTCAAAATATATAGTGTATTTATATATACATAATAAATATACACAGAACACATACATATATTAAATATATTTATTTATAATAAAAAAGATAATCATAGAAGTCAAACCAGCAGGATAATCTATAGAGAAAAGAAAAATGACAAATGTTGAAGGGAAAGTTCATCTAAAAATAACATATCAACACATCATTCAAAACCTTTATGACTTTCCTCTATAGGACACATAAGGAGATGTTGGGCAGAATGTTCAAGTTACACTTTTCCAAATAATGAAAGTCAATGTTGACCAGGGCCCAGGCAAGATTTCCAGTGAATAAGTAAAATTTCAGTCAGTTTTGCACATAAAGCAGCTTTATAGCATCAGAAGACTTGGAATATAGTGCATGAGTTGTAGAGATCATTGGTTTTTTTTAGTGCCGTCAAACGATTAATCGCATCCAAAATAAAAGTTTTTGTTTACATATGTTTGTGTGCTGTGTATATTTATGTATATATAAACACACACACATGCAAATATTTCAGAAAAATGTTTATATATTATATTTATTTATAATAAAAATTATATGAATATTGACATGTAAATATTTTCAAAATATATAGTGTATTTATATATACATAATAAATATACACAGAACACATACATATATTAAATATATTTATTTATAATAAAAAGTATATGAATATTGACGTAAATATTTTCAAAATATGTAGTGTATTTATATATACATAATAAATATACACAGAACACATACATATATGTAAACAAAAACTTTTATTTTGGATGCGATTGACAGCAGTTTTTTTTTTTTTTTTGTCCTTTCAGTAGCTTGACATCCACTGGTCACCATTCACTTTCACTGTTTGTAAAAGTGCAGCAATAACATTCTTCAAAACTTCTTTTATTAAGTCATAGGAGTTGGAATGATATTAAAGTAAGTAAACTTTCTTTTGAGTGATCTCTTAGCTAAAATGCAATTATCCAAACATTTGTATTCCCATATTATGACACATTATAATCCCAATTTTTTATTGGTTAACTGCATTTTTATAGTACATAGCTGACATTTATCTGACCAACTTCTCTAGCAGATAACATGCACATACTTTTTGTGACTATCAAGTGGCTTCAGACCATCCTACCTTTTGGTATCTCTTTGCAAACATAGTCCATTTCTGTGTATATACAGGACTGAAACCATGCCTCGTGTATATACTGGAACACCACAAAAATAAAAAGAGCTAGGCAGAAAAAAAGAAACATTGGTCACAATTACTTGATTTTGAAGCCAACATCAAATCAGAGTACAATAATACTCACCGCGCATACTGACAAACATCAAATAACAATGTCTTCTGAGTTCCTGTCTAATGACCATCCATCCACCGAATGCCTGACCTGTAGAGCCCCCCGCTGAGGATAAACCGCCAGTTGCCAGGAGACAAATGTGTCTTCAGTGGACTGTCAAGGATACAGTGCTTGTCGATGAGGCTGTGGTGTTCCAGTTGACAGAAGTTGGGACGCCCATCACGAGACCACAAGTAATTAGACTGCCATCATTTCTTGCAATCACCCAACAACAGTGAAGCTATTAATACAAGTTTATCAACTGCCGACAATTTTGCACAATACTTGGTACTAATATTCATTACTATGAGGTAAGCTCACTTACTGTATAATGCAAGGGGTGTTATAAAATAAAGTGGAAGAAAGATGGCAATGTCAATAATTAAATGGAAAAAAATGAGAATGAATTTGACTTGAAATATTTATTACTTCTCAGAGTCTTATTTAAAATAAATAATAATATGGTAAAGGAAGCAAAATGACCAAGAATGAATAGTAGTGTCTAAAACAAACAAACAAACAAAAAGAAAACAGGTGATCAACATCAATACAATCTTTTAGTTGAGATATAAAAACATACATATACAAAACTGCAATTTAAAATTAAACAATGCAGCGACGTAAAGACACCTAACACCTATTATTTGGAAACAGTAGTTTAAGAGTCATTAAGGGCTGTCAGTGTGCTCTTTTCGGTGTTAATAATGTTTGAGAGATATTTCTCTGTGTATAACAGAGTACCTTCATCTTTCAACAACTAGCTTTAGGAGCAAAAATGGTTTAGTAAGCCCTTTGAAAATCTACCCCACTAAACACCTTCATGAGCAAACAAATAAAGTGCATGTGCAACACTCAATTGATCTCGACACCAAACACAAGGCTTTTATGAGTGTTCTCCAACATCTAAACACAAGGACGTCGGCAGTGTTGACACTTCTTTCACTGAGGAATGTTTTCAACCTTGGTAAATAATTAGACAGCGACGGCAAGGGAAGTAACCGATTATGAATATATTAAATACTGTCATTCAAATCGTTTACAGCGACACTCTTCATAACAGAGCATGCTGCATGAGAAAAAGCTCCAGTGCTAACATCAACATGGTTACATTACATGATAATATTACTAAAACATGATCATAAGTGCACCATAGTACAGACTGTCCAGAGGAGAGGCCGCTACAGAGTAGAACAGAAGAGAAGAGAACTGCATTTGACACGTATCAAGGTCTGTTCCATTCCCTATTGAAAGGACCACCGAGTTTCCAAAAAACGGGCTACAGCCGAGCTGATTTTTTAAAGCGTTGAATAAACAGACATAGTACCACAATGCATGAAGGCCAAAAGTATGCGGACCTGGGATTTTCCCAGTGACAACAAAGGAGCAGCATGTTTTGGAGGCAAAAAAAGCTTTGTTGAGAGCCAAGTCAGCTATTTTTTTACATGAACTTGAGTTCTGGCAGTCCTTAGAGTCAGCAAACATGTTTTGAAGACGTTAAGAGGAAAACGTGTATCCCTCCTAAAAAAGGGGAAAACGAATCAAACAAAAACAATCATGGGGGAAGTGCTTTGTTTAAACGAGCTAATCAGTGCCAAACTAATAAATACTTCAAGTAACAAAAAATGTATCATGTAAAAAGACCACAGGATTGTGGGTAAAGGACTACTTCAACCCAAAACACATTCAAATGAAGTGCATGTTGATTCATGCCTGTTTGCTTGTCCAGCGATCCTCTTCCATCCAAACTCTGACGGAAGCAGATAAGTGATTACGGGCCTCGTTGCGAAAGTGCAGATCTTACGAGAGCCATCGGACTTCACTTTGCGCTCTTTTTTGGCACTGCGAGTCTTTTGGCTTGCCACAGGTGGTTATGGATAGTTAGCGCATCTACACTAACAGACACAGTCTTGGCAGGGATTACAGTGAACTGCTTGCGGTCCGAGCTGTACTTGTAGAGTTTGTCAATCATCTTCTTAGTGATGCTCTTGGGCCCTGTGCCGGTGAGCTTGTGGATCTCCTCTGTGTCGGGGAAGTAGGAGTAAAGGGCTCTGAACTGACAGCCACTGTCCCGGAAGAGAATCATCAAGTGGTTGGATTCGCACTTCTCCAGCTCCTACCAGTCAAAAAATTAAACCATTTAGGTTTTTTCACTGTAATTTATCATCAAAACTAATTGGTTACATCCCAGCATGCTATCTGCATGCCATGAAACTGCAAACTGGTCACACACCTCAAGAATGGAGTTCTTCTGCGGTTCGTTTACTTTTCCCGCTAAGCAGCAATGAGCGATGGCGTTGTGGATTATAGGCTTGTTGGACTTCGCACTTGGTTCTTTGAAAAGCTTGGGTCCTACAGTGACAACAACAACAAAAACATCAATACAAGACATGAGAAGCAACAATGTCCTAGAACAGGGGTGGCGAACGTCAGTCCTGGAGAGCCGCAACCCTGCAGAGTTTTGCTTCAACCCTAATCAAACACACCTGAACAAGCTAATCAAGGTCTGAAGGGTTACTAGAAAGCTACAGGCAGGTGAGTTTTAATTAGGGTTGGAACTGAACTCTGCAGGGCTGCGGCTCTCCAGGACTGGAGTTCGCCACCGCTGTCCTAGAAGGTCATGGATTTTTTTTCTCCTTATTTTATGATGATTCATTATACATTTTTTCACATATACACCACCGTTTGTTTTTTTGTTTTTTTTAATGTTTTTGAAAGAAGTCTCTTATCCTCACGAAGGCTGAATTTATTTGATAAAAAACTAAAAAAATATTAATATTGTGAAATATTGCTACAATTTTCTATTTGAATATATTTTAAAATGTAATTTATTCTTGTGATATAGAAATTCTTCTAATATGCCGATTTGTTGCTCAAAAAAAATTTTTTTTTTCTGTTCACTGTGAAATGCTGTGCGATATGGAAAAAAAAACATACATATTTGATGTTTAAAATGCAACCACATGAAGCAGGAATTTGGACCAATGGGATTTCACTGTGGGCGGGACTACCAAGTGTGACATAACTAGAAAACAACTGACCGATAACACGTTGTCTTGCTCTCATGGCTGGTTAGGGCAACAACATTTTTCCCCCTTGGATTTATCGCTTGCACATTTGTTGTTTCACCTGGTTAGGTCATGATATGCCTCTCAGAGCCCTATACAGCTCTCGCTGATGCATACTAGAGCTTCTCAGTCTCCATGATTAAAAGCTAAACTACCTCATCCATCACTCTGACACCCAACAAATGACACAAACCTTTCTATTCTCCTCCTAAACAATCCCTTGCCTTACATGGTTCAAAGGGTCCCTGCGGTGAACGCTAACAAGATAAAGTTGATCAATGCTAATGTAACCATGCCATTCTGAGCATTACCCAAATAATTTACATAAACCCAAGTATTTTTGCACTGATTTTTTATTTCATAGCTTGAAAGGGTAGTTCTAATTTCAAACTTATTTCAGCTTTCAAGCAAAGCAATGCCTGTATTTATTCTACAAAAATAAGCAATAGAACAAAAAGGATGTATTTGCCCTGTAAAATGCATTAGTCAACATGTTAGCTAATTGAAGAGCAAACAAGTGAAATGCTTCAGAGAGTTCAGGCTTAAAGAACAAATTTATCCACTAATATATACCCAAACAAAAAACTGATGTGTGCTTATGTACTCAAGCACACAGACAAACATACTGCCTGATGCATGGTCAAGATCAGCATGCTGCTGTTTTTAACACAGGATGTTGTCCTGGTGTAGAGGAATCTAAAACAGTATAAATAATTTAGTACTCCAGACCAGCATGTGGTAGCCACACTTACTGAGCATCAACACAAATATAAACCACTTGCATCCTACAGAATGGAAAGTGAAAACTCACCAGTGTATTCCGCCATGGATGCTGATGTAATGGAAGACGCGGTGGAACCGTTGTCCCAGTCTCTCTCTGTAGTCCGACTGGAATTGCGACTGAGGCCTGGAAATGACTCTACCGATTCTCCTCTGTTAATGGAAAGAACGAACAGCAACATTAAAGTGCTTTGGAGGTCACAGTCTGAATACAGTTGATTCTGAAACGAATTAATGAAATGCAAGCAGGCATCTGCACACAGCCTATAGGACATGGGAAGGACTTACCGATGAGATCCCGCCCCTCCTGAGTTGACACTGTCTGGTTCAGTGGTGGCCACAGAGGCCAGTGATAGACTAGAGCCAGACTGGGCACTGATGAGATTCTCATCTGGTGAGGAACATGGTTTCATTATTTTAGATTAAGTGCCATCAAACACGTCTGCTGTTAAATCAGTAATAATGCAACAACAGAAGGCACAGTTTAATACTTACTGGTAGCAGGACATCTGGGAAGTGTATCAACTGAGTTTTCTTCCTTCAGCACAGACTTCGGCCTTTGTTTTTTGGGCTTGGACTTGGGTTTGGGTTTGGGCTGGGGCTGCTCTTGCTCCTCACACATCTCCTGCTGTTTTCTTCTAAGGTATTCCTGCTTTATCAACTCTCTCCTGGCCTTCTCCTCCTCTTTTCTGATTCTTTCATCTTCAGCTTTCCTCCTGGAATTGGAAAAGAATAGAGGCTTTAAACATACAAACTTCATGAAAAAGTTACAAAGCATCTCTTTATCATATTTATATTCATGGAAGATTACACTTCAAAGGTAGTCAATACCTGGCTTCATCTCTTTTCATCTCACTTTCAGCCTCCAGCTGTTGCTTGCGGAGCCGAGCCTCCTCTGCCTTCCTCTGTTGTTTTAGCAGAAACGCTGCTCGCTTTTTGGCCAATTCATCCTCTGCTTTTTGCTCGTCCTGCATACATAAAACAACAAAATCAGTAGGAAAAGTAAAACTAGTGAAACTTGTGTCTGAGTGGTTGTTTGTAGTTGCTAGGGTGTTACTTAGTGGGGTTTCTTGGTCACAAAGTGAGTGGGAAAGTTTACGAGTCATAGTTTAATTAATACTTTGCCAGGTTTTAAAAAAAAAAATTATTTACCTTGAAAAAGAAGCCCATGCCAGACTTCTTTTCCCCATCGCTCCCATCAGTGGTCACATCCAATACATTGGCGTTTTCTTCATCTGGATTGGCAGCCAAATCAGACAAATCTACCTCAATAAGATTGACTTTTCCTCTAGAAATATCCTCTGAGGAAACATTATCCATTGCTGGCTCATCATCAAATGTAGCCTCAGCATCCTGTAAGGTAGTGGACATAGATTCTTCGAAAGTGACACCAAGGGCCACAGAACTTGGTTCCCTTGAGACCATCCTCAAGTTAGCTTCATCATTAAGGTGGAATGTAGTGCTTTTCGAGTTCCCCTTGTCTTTGTTGAATGAGTCTGATCTTGTGGAGTTCTGCACAAAGTACTCCAGCTCTGGTTTGGGGGTCCTGCCCCCTTGAATGGACTTGGCAGAGGGGCTGTCAGTAGGTGTAGGAGTGGAGCTCTTATGCCCTTTGCCGTGCTCCTTAACTAACAACAGCTCTGAAGGTTTGGAACGAGACCGTGCTGAACTTAGTTTGGGTGATTTTCGTACCACAGGGCTGCCACTTGGTTCAACAAAATGTATCGAAGCTCTGACCCTGGGTTCAGATGCATTACTTTGGTCACTGCTAGGTGGTGGAGCAGCACCTGTTGGAGACTGAAGATTTTGCTTCATGAGCATTTCCTGCTGGAGCGAAAGTTGCATCATCTGCTGCTGAATGTTTCCAATAGCCTCGTTCAACAATTCAATGGAGTGGTTGCATTCATTAAGATCCATCTCCTCGTCCATATCTAAGGCACTAGGGGACACAGTCCCCCCACCTGCCCACTCGAGAGATGCCTTCTCCGGCTCTTTGGCCTCTTTCGGCCCATCTCTCAGAGCACCAACACAGGTGTCGTCTTTCGACGATTTCTCTTTTTCTTGATTGAGTTTTTGGCCATCTTTCAAGTAGTACTCGGACTTTGTAGGCTGAGGGAGAGTATCACTCTTCCCTTTCTTTACTATGTGCAGGAAGGCTGCTTTCCCAAGCTTAAGCCTTTGTCTTGCTGTCAAGACCTCCATCTTCTTCTTTTGGGATTCAATTGCACGTCGCTTTTCTTCAAGTTGCATGTGGAGTTGAACAAGTTCGGAGGCCAGCATGTTGGCACTGTCCTTGTTCTGTGGTGTGGGACTCTGGTCTCTTTTCATCCTCCAGGAGGTTAGAGGAAGGGGGCAACTCTCCGAGCCATCTGGTGTGGTCCGCTGTGAGCTGCTTGTGCTGGAGCGGATATCTTGATTGCTACCAAACTTCTGCATCTTTCGTTCAGCAAAACTGGTCATGCGCACGCTGCTGCTAGCTACACTGCTGACCTCGGACTGGCCAGGGCTTGAGCACCTGCTCCCACCATCCTTATCCTTATGTTCCTTTACATTCATGTCTTCCTGCAACTTTGCTGACTCTTCGTCCTCCTCATAGAACTGTTTCTTGTCTGGATGGAGCTCTTTGGTGAGTTCTGCATCCTGTTCCTCAATGGTCTCCACAGTCGCTACATCAGACCCTGGATGGATGTCCCATGCTTGGACAGGCCTCTGGTCCTCAGGCACCGATGAATGAAGGTAAAACCCAGGTGACCGCTCAGCAGAAGATGGCTCAACACTACTTGTTGCCAATGGTCTGAAAGCTTGCATCTGCCCAGGGGCTGGAGGCACAAATTCACTGGATTTAGGCTCAATAGTTGTCTCAAACTCAGAGCTAGTGTTGGGGGTAAAGGTCCGGTTAAGAGTGGATGGAGGTCTCCGTCTGGAAGATGAAACAGCACCTTCTGCTCCTGCTACTCTCCGTGCTGATTCTCGCAGCCTTCCCTCTCCCGACTCTTCTTCCTTATTTAGGTATATTGACTTCTCTTTGGCTGGCCTGAGAACTGCAGGCATCAGAGGTTCCAGGAAGCAACTGGCTGTTCGAGAATCTGAGGATGCTTCCTCCTGTCTTCCCCAAATGCCTGTTTTAGCACCAGGGGTAGCACTCTGTCGCTCTGCATCCTCAGAGTTTAACAGGGTGGTCTCATTCTTGGATGAATCTGGCCTGACAATAGTTACAAGCTCATCCTCCTCATCCATGTTAACATTGCCCAGCAGACCGTGGCCATTGACCCACCTAATTTTGCCCTGTCCCGGATGGCTCTGGTGCTTGGGTGTTACAGTGGAGGCCAGGCTGTCCTCACTGATGGAGCAAGTCAGACTAACGCAGTCGCCTGAGGCCAAATCTGCATCACAGTCCGTAGCAGAGTGGAGAACATACCGATTCAGCTGAGACAGTGGCCTGATTATAATAATAGTAAGAGAATCATGACCAAACAAAATATAGGTTTTATGTAAAATTTTAAAAGATATGTTAAATACTCATATTTATTAACAGTGTTGGTACCTCTGCCGTTTATCTGACCAAGCCACTGATCCTCTGGAGTGACCTTCTTGCGTAAAAGAATTGGAACGATTTCGACAGGCTGGTAAGAAAAGCACAAAAATTTCATTACCAGACTCTATTATACTCATGTCACATTCTAACTCAACTGTAAAAAGGAACATGCTTACTTGATAGAGTAGGGCCTAATAAAAAATTATTTTAAATATACTTCACAATTTATGCATTCATTCAAATTACCATAATGCAGAAGTGCCTTAACTGTCAAAGTTACAGTGCAAAAATATTGTTATGGGGATAAAACAATCTTTATCTGTAAGCCAAACAATTTTCATCCTTAAACATTCTGGTTAGGGGTTTGTTCTATACCACTAATCCCAATTATTAGGATTCTATTCTGTTACAGATTCTATACAAACTTTGTTGATGTTTTGTTAACTTCACATTTTTTATGAAAGTTTAAGATTACAATAAAAATAATAATAAATAAATAAATAACCAAAGGTGCTAAAAAAACATTTCTATTTCTGAGAGTCGACATTTCTGGGTATCCCTTCCATGTGAGCAAGAAAAGTAATATTTTCATATGAATGGCATTAGAAGCTTAATGCCATACCCGTGCTTTCCTCTCCTGGCTGAGCCTTCTTCTGTCTTTGTCTCAGTGGAAGTAGTGGGTGGGAGGGGCTGAAGCTGGAACTCCCCTTATTACTGAAACAGCAAGCAGAGGGCACAGTTGGCAAACCACCAGCACAAAAAATTAGGACGAATGGTATCCAGGCCTATCCAGCCAAAATCTAATCGGAACTGACACTTCGCATTTTCCATGTGGATGGACAAATATAGACAAGCAACACTGCTCTGCTTAGGACCTTAAAAAGAATAACTTAATCGAAAACAGTCTGATACTATAGTTACAGAGCTGTATTAAAAGCACTAGCATAACATTAAAATGCCTTTTATGTCCAAGTAACTATTTTTTAATGCCAGTGTCAAATAAGATCCACAGTAAAGTTAAAGTTCTTTTAAGTAAGGCAGGGCAGTGCAGTTCCGTCTCAGCATGTCAGAAAGACACAGGCACAACATGACAAAGCAAAGACATGATGAGACAATATGATTCAGGTGTGAATCATAATCATGCAAGCAAAGTTCCCTCTAATGTGCATTTGGGCATGGCTGTGCACTTGTGAATTGCAAAACAAAATTTTCAAGCATATGGAAGCCCACATTATTTTTGTCCATGTATTGTCTCTAGGTGCCTAAAAAATTAAATAACTATCATTAACTCCTCTGCATTGAATGTTTTCTCAATTGAATTATGTATTAAAAAAAAAAAAGTCAGTGAAAATTTTTTGAAAAATGTATGGGTCGGTACATGGTTTTTCTACACTGGTGGCCCAACGGTTTGCCCAGTAGAAAATAGGTTTGGCTGAGCAAGAATACAAATTAGAGGGAATATTAATTATTAGACATTAAATCTAAGGAGATTGTCCAAAGCATATTTTCACATTGACAAAGATCACTGACATTTACACCCAAAGCAACACATGGAAAAGACAAAACCATGAAGCACTTACAGAGGCTCAGATTCTTCAGGGTGCAGGAAGTACCTGTTACAAACATCCGGGCTGTTCTGAACAGGAAGTGCTGGATCAGCCCCACCAGGAGACACCAGGAAGCTCCGTTTTGTGGCGTTGGAGATGGGCACAGTAGGCCTGGCACTCTTGGGCTGAGTCATTGCTCTTGCTATAATACAAATTTTAATTATTAACTCAAATTAGCAGAACAACAGGCAAAATATGAGGATTTTGGTTGAATCTTCATGCAAGCTTTGTTTTAAATTTTGTATTGTAAAGCCAATAAAACTTTAAAATGCAAAATTAACAAATTTAAGCCCCTTCACTCAACAGTATGACAAATTTACTGCCAAAAAAAAAAAAAAAACTTCTTCACCATCTTTAAATTCCTGAACATCTCTCGGCTGGACAAATTCAGGCTTGACAATCTCAAACCACCAGAAGAGCTCTGCTATAAATACCATGACATTGTGCTGCAGAAGAAAATGAACAGTGAGAGAATCAAGAACAGACCCATGCGGAAATGAAACATCCTGTTAATGACAAGACACATTATACATGACTGAATAACTTACCTTGAGAACAGGAGGTGCGTACAACATGTCCTCTAGTGTCAAATAAAAGCTTTTGTTAAGGTACTCATTGGCAAACTCTTTCAGCAGCTGGATATTATAAAGGCTGTCTGCTATTGAGGTCACCTCTTTCAAGCAGATATCTGCAGATAACAGAAAACACAAAGTTAGCAAATAAGCTATCCTGAGGCATACAGCCTCTGACATTCATGAACGCTAAATCAAGGGCTGAATCCAAATGAGGTCAATATTTGCTTGGGAGTTGAAATATCGGGGGCCTGTTCTTCGTACGTTGCTAACTCAGTTAGCTGGATTTGATTGTTGACGATTTGGCATGATCTTGGATTACTTGAGTGCTGACAGCTATTATGGGAGTGGCTTGATAAAGCGCAGGAGATGCAGATAACATGACTTTAAATAATGCTGTCACGTAACAAATCTGTTCGAATATAAAATTAAATGAATTGCTAATTACTACATTGAAATAAAAATGTAAAGCCTGTACAAATATTAGAAATCGTGAATATAAATAATTGGGAATCATGTAAAAAATTCAAATAAAATAAAAAGAGTGCACATTTCATTTATCTATTATAACATTTATGTAGTTTTGTTCGCTTGGCTGTTTCCTTATAAAAGTCCAGAAATTTGTCAAGTTTTTCGTCAGGTGTCTTTTTTAATTATATGATGTCATTACGTTGCTGTCTTGCCGCCAGCCAATCGCTGCATTGCTGATCGTGGTTTCGAGTATCGATACATAGCCCCTTTTAAACCAACCCATGAATGTGCAATTATCTCAGATAACTCAATCCAGCCATACTAATCATAAACAACAGCTGCGTTCAAAGAACCGAATTAGCCAGATCCTGATTAGCATGATGATATCATCTTGGATGTGACATTTCATCTCGGACGTAATAAGCGACGTACGAAGAACGGGCCCCAGAAAAGAGCATTTCACAGAATATTTACTTAGCTCAAAAGGCAATGCGAAGTGAAGCACCAAGGGAATAAAACTACAATCAATCAAAAGTATAAGAAAGCAAACCAACAAAACTCTAGAAATGAACCATACCTAATGTATTATATATGATATGCACATTTCTAAGACTTCTAAATTAACAACATGATCAATGTTGTGGAACTCTGAAATTTTTACAGATTTTTATAAAGTAAACACAAGTATAACTTTTACAGTGTTAGTAATATTTCAAGATGACAACGACAGAGCTTTGATCATTAAACTAAGCAATTATATATCATCTTACAAAGAAATATTATTGGGAGATACTGCACCAAAATGCATTATTTTTGCTCAGTTTGAGCCTCTAAATGTTTTTTTCCCCTCCTCAAGTATGAACTATATATTCTCCTACATCATACTATGTGAGCCATAACTGCCTGATGTAATGTATCAAATATAATATTATTATTTATGATTATAAATATTAAAAAAACACTTTTCTTCAGATTTTTCAAATACATTTTTGTCTAAAGGTTCAATAAAATGTTCCATTTCAAACAAATGTGATTTTTATGATTTATTGTAGGCTTAACAGGATTAAAATGAAGTAAAGCACCCAGCTTAAAGGGGAAGTGTTAAAATACTTTCTCCTTTCCCAGCTAAATGTGCAGCAAACAATTGCAAGCAAACCATTCGTATGATTTCCAAAGAATGTAAGCACTGTGGCGCCTTCAAAACATGTCTTGTTTGTTTGAGCTGCCTGACATAGCAACAACCGTCTGAAGCAATGATGTAACTCTGGGGTGGGGTGAAGGAGGCAGTAGGAGTGTTTGGGAAACCTGATTAGGTTTGGTGCTACAAGCGGTGAAGAGATTACACACATGGCTTTCTTTAGCCTAGCTAACTAGTATAGTATCCCTAGTGTTATTTCACTCTACCATCAAGCTTCATCAGGTCTGGGCAGTAGAAATGGACCACGGTCAGCAGTGCAGCACCGTCACACACATCCCTGATCAGGTCCTCCAGCAGGGGGAAGTAGGGCAGCTGTCTACCTGAGGCATGATCCCGCCGATACCGTACCTGCAGGTGACATGAGAGGAAGCCAAACTGTCAAAACCATCTACAACAACAGGCTGTATTTAACAAAGTGACCTTTGGTATATGGCACTGGCATTGTGTAGGCAAGAGACAGTTTTGCAAGAGAAATATATTTTATCATTGAGGCTTTGTATTTGTAAGAATATTTGCTGTTCTAAATAAACTAGAAAGGGATATAACATAGGCGAATTAGACTATAAGACAACTAAAAGGAATAGTTCACCCAGTAAACTAAATTGGCCTTATTTACTAATCCTCATATTGTTCCAAGGAAGACAAAAAGAGATGTTTAGCAGAATGTCCAAGCTGCTCATTTTTTAAATAATGAAAGAGAATAGGGACCGGAGCGGTCCAGGCAAAAAAATACAACTTAGTCAATACAACTTATGCACGAAAACAAAATTAGTTAGTTGCTAAAATAATCTGCTCCACTGTAGCTCGAAAAAGTCCAGGCCCAGTTCTCATTCACTTTTGTTGTGCAGTCAAGAGCAGCTTGAATATTCTTCACAGCTACTCCTTGTGTTCCATAGAAAAAGCTAAATTATATGAGTTCGGAACAAAATCATGGGGAGTAAAAGATACAATTTTTATGTTTGGGTGAACTGCTCCTTTCAGCAAAAACACAGAAGAACAGTGATTAGCCACAACACAAATAACTCAACAAAAACTAAGGATATGAATCACAAGATCAGTGCGAGAAACACTGATACGCTGTTAATGCATAAAGGACTACAATTTTACATTCTTATGAATATATGCAACATTGTTGCATAATAAACCTGCATAAACAACAAAAAAAGAAAAACAGGAACCTAAAGAACATACAATTCGCAAAAGTAGTGGTTGACTGATACAGATTTATTGATGGCCAATGTTGATATCTTAAAGCAGAGTAGCCAATGGCCAATATAAAGCCAATGTAGATCTCATTTAAAGATAGTAAATAACAGATGCATAACAATTTCTGCAATGAAATTGAAATGACGTTTGCTGCATGGTTAAAAATATGCTATACATATATAATAAAATTGTTCTTTTTTTTTAGCAAAAAAAACAACAACAAACATAAGTACAGTGTAAGTTTATTTTATTAAATTCAGAAATACTGAGCAAATAAAGGGAAACATTGTAAACATTAACATAGCTGGGCTATATGCTATTTTATTTCCCCACAGACTGAATCATGCACAGAGGTATATGTATGAAAAAAGTATTACAGCACTTCAGTTTGTATGACTAGACAAAACAATGGCAGCACACTAATGTAGACAGAGAATGGGTGCTCCTATGCATCTGCGCTTAGGCCCTGCCAAAATAAAAGTCCCGTTTTGAACTCTTTATCAGCCAGAGGGGAAAAAAAGGTATCTGGCAATGCCAATAATTTTAAAAAAGCCAAATATTGGCCTATATATATATATATACCAGTCGACCACTACACAAAATCCCTCTACACATTGACTATGGCAGCCATAATCATAATCTTGTGAATATACTCAATCAATTGTGCAGTCCTAACAGTCACCAAGTCTAGGTTTCAGACACAGTGAAAGTTAGAAAGCAGATCTAAAAGTAAAGAAGCAGCAGAATGGAGACAGAGGATCTCTGTGCCATTTGTGAAACAGGCTCCAGCATGCAATGGGCCAGTACAAACATAAGATCAGGCAGAAGGACCACATGTCAGAGAGACGGACAGAACAAGGAAGAGACTAATGAAGATGGAAATAACTGCAAGAAATTAGAAGATGAAAGCTGAAGTTAGAGACTCAAACACACACACAGACGCTCACACACACACACACAAGTACGCGCAGCGGCATGTGTTAGCTCATAACTGCATGTGCTCAAAGGGTGAAAGGCAGATCATTTTGTGCGATTACAGCGTGAGCCACTGGCCAGAAGCGTCTCCCAGTGTGCACTGATTAGATAAAAGCGTGGCCTGAGTGGTGATGGCGTACGTTGGGATTGACACATACTACTCGTGCAGTGGAGAGGAAGCACTCACAGCCAACTTACAGGTACTAGTTTCCAATACCATTTTGAGGGAGACTATCCCAGTAGCGAGGGAGGAGGTTAAAGGGAAAGAGACGGGAAGAGGAGCAGAGAGGATGTAAGGTCAGGGGAGAAAAGAGCAGACAGATGTGACCCTGCTATGAGGTTAGAGGAGAAACAGAAGGAGTGATGCCACGGAAGATATTAGATCATTTCCATAAGGCTGTTGTTACATTAGTGCCATCTATTGAGATGCGAGTCTTGCCATTTCAGTTCACACCCGTTTATGATCTTGTTTACACCTGGTATTAACAACTGTTGCATGTCATCCAATCAAGTGGTCAGCCAATTCTTTGTCTTGGTGAACACTTAAAAATCAAAGACAAGGACTGCACAATTTTGCAAGGGTAAAAATATCGAATTGTGTTTTTCTGGGGGATAAAAATTGTGACTGCGATTTCAAATGTGATTGAGAAAACAAAATCCAGATTTGCTGTGCTTGATTGCAGGGCTGTACAATTTGGCCAAAATTTTGCAATTATATATCAACATAGGTATAAAAAATAAATAAAACAAAAATAATTTTTTATTATTATTATTATTACAAAGATTTCTGTAAATGCCCAAATATAACTTTTTTTCCTCCAGTGCAGTTTGAATTATGTTTTCTAGACAGATACAACCCCATTTACAGGAGACAGATGTGAAAAACCAGGTCTAAACAGCACCGAGAATCAGAGTTTTGCAATGCATGTGTGAAACTCTTGTGCTGGGATGTCTGGTACCTTCTGATGACTTGGAGATTCCAGCAGATGCTGCTTTGATTTGTGTTCCTTCTCTGTGATCTCCCTCATTTTCAGTTTCACCTGCAACACAAAGAAGGGATTATGACACATATAAAGAATTCATAATGAACATCTGAGGTTTATACGGTTTTCTTTTGAAAGTGCTGGCAGAAGTCTCCATGCCAGCATGAATAGACATGCTCTGGCCAAGCACTGAAAGTCCCCTACAGGACTAGACAAATCCAAGTAAGCTATTAGTACATCATGTAACACACAATGTTCATTCAAACATAACCTTCACAAGTGTACTGTTCAAAAGACACACACCTTGTTGATCCAGAAGACCATAGCATCCTCAAGGTCAAAGGGGAGCTCCTTGGAGGCACTGAATGTGGAGAAACGCTTTACGCAGGCCACAACCTTCTCAATGCTGATCATCTCCACGGTGTAGGCCATCATCAAAGCATCAATCATGGGGATGTGGGAACTCTGTGCCACACAACAGAGAAAGAAATGTCACACTACACTATTAAATGCACCATAATGGACAAAAAAAGTTTACATTTAAAAAAAAAAAAAAACTTTTACAAATAAATTTGATGAAAATGTGGTATTGTGACACTAAACATTATATCACCACAAGCAGCATATTTTATTTTATTTTACTTTTTTAATAAATACTACAAATAAATGAAACATTATTATTATTATTAGCAGTTATAATATCGAGGGATTGGTTTTGAAAAATGTCACGACTCAATCCGATTTAGATTCACACATTCGATTACAATTTGATCCTATATCGATTATTTTGGATATATATCAGGTACAGTACATAGCAAACTTTCACATAAAAAAAACTAATGCTCTACTAATAATAAACCAGTAAAATAAACTGGAGTCAGTTGGTACTACAGTACTATAATATTGAAGGTTAAAATTACCCGATTTGTATAACAAACATTGTATACAAATGAAGTTTTTATAATAATAAACGTTATAATACTAATTTTACAGTTGCATAGCAATTTCTACTCTCAATTCGTTTTCTGAAATATAAATACTTAAATGGTAAAATATAAACATTTAAATGGTGGCTGTCATAATTTGATGGATTTATTTAAACAAATTAAATATTAAAACAGTAAAAAATTATAATGAATGTTATATGGTGCATATATTACCAAAATGCTCCCCTCTAGAATTCACGAACAAACAAGAACACCTCGTCAGTTTAAACGTACAAGCACAAAAAGACATGAAAAGCTTAATTCAGCACCCGCGCGCTGTTCTGTGCGTACAGTGTGCATGCAGAGAGCCGCGTCTACAGCCCTTAAACACCGAATTGAGTTTTGTCTCTTCTTGCTCTTGAAACGACAAATACATCCAAAATTGTCACAATACCTGTCTTTGCAAGTATCCTTGAAAAAATGGTCTGTTATGTCCTTAAGTGAAAGTGCAGTTGAGAAATATCATCTTGTTGAGAAAGAAATGGAATGTGTATCATTATATTGGATGTATTATCTCTTAACGTGACTGCGCATAATTTACTAGCTGCTGTTAGTGTCCTTAATGTTAATCCAAGAAATTAAATAGGAGAAAATCACTCACTGCTCCTTACTGAATTACTTTGTAGTTTTAACAAGAATTAATCTATATTTAATTTATACAATGAAGACTATGCAATGCTATTTACATTTGATTATTCAGGTTTTATACCTGGACACCTACAAACTTGAAAAAACTTAAACATGGTTTAATTTGTATATTTGTGCCATTTACACAATTTCAAACAGGGCCCACTGGTACAACCTGCACCAGAGCCCCGCAAACGCCAGCTACGGCCCTGTACACCGATCGGTCTGCTTCAAGTCGAACACACAGCTGCTGTTGCCACCTTATGACAATAGATTTACACTTCAAATTAGGTAGTCTGTCATCGATGACAGTAGCTTATTGGAAAAGGATGGAAAATGCCCTTCATTTTGTTTGCACTAATAAATGCTGCTGCCTGCCAGCTGCAATCACCAATAAAACATTGTTCCATGTTTTATTTTTTTCTATATCGTCATAAATATCGTTATCGCAAATATTCTTGAAATATCGTGATATAATTTTGAGGCTATATCGCCCACCCCAAACAGCGCAAAAACGCTTTTTATTGTTTGAATATTGTAATAAAATGGACAGAATTTGAAATCTGAGACTTTGCACAAGCAAAAAGCTTATTGCGATTTATTGGATGGGAGGCGCGCTACAATGTTCCATTCATTAACTAAAACAGGCTAGACTAATCGATTCTTGGGATTTAAGAATCAATATGGTTCATAAAATTGCAATCTATTAAAATCGAGAAATGTATATTTTTTTCCCCCAGCCCTAATAACTACAGGTGCATCTCAATAAATTAGAATGTCGTGGAAAAGTTCATTTATTTCAGTAATTCAACTCAAATTGTGAAACTCGTGTATTAAATAAATTCAATGCACACAGACTGAAGTAGTTTAAGTATAAAAATACTATCTTTTTTAACAAAGCACTGACAAAAAAACGGAACTTTATAAGCTAGTAAAAGAAACGTCCTTATACTCAAATAGTCCTAATGTTTCAAGGAGCTGCTTTTCCTCACTAAGAAAGGCAAAAATGTGCACACAACTCTGTGGGAATAATCCCATCCTATTTAGCCCAAAGAAGGTCATACTGCTCTTAATAACACAGCACTGAGCTCAGTAAATCTGCCAAAACAAAGCACAGTCAAGATGAAGTAAGTAACATAATATTTCACATTTGTCATGAAATGAAAAACCCTTTATTTACCTTTCCTCATGCTGGCTACAATCCTGAACACTACCTCATGATTTAAATTTATTACAAAGTACACCAAGCATTTCAACATTGAGTCCTAGTCTGAGACTATGAACTGTTATACAAAGCCCACCCAGTTACCATTGCAATCCTAACACCAGTCGACCAGTGACTTGTTCATACGGGCTCAAAGTACACGTCAGCACAATCTCAGCAGACTGATCCCTGACTCAAGGCAATAGTGTCAGCAAACTTCCACAGAGTGTTTTTCTCAGATATGCATGCAAGTCGTCTGACAAGCATAAACCAAAAGACTGGAACGGGAAGAGCTTTGGACTCAGATAAACATAGGACTAAAGCAGAAAAGCACACTATCACACTTCTATCATTTCTGCAGTATGTGTTAGGTACACAGTATGCAGCCTGCATGAAATAAACAGATTACCTACTACATTTGCCAATATGTGGATTACCCACCTTGTTCCTAACGAGTCTACTGCATTTTAAATTATGGGAGGCATTTCTGGTTTGGGGAAGTTCCACTCAAAGAAACTGAAACAATAATTTAAATCATAAGGTTGCACTACAAATAATCCTTATCCATTCTTTAAAGGGGTCATATGATGCGATTTCAATTTTTCCTTTCTCTTTGGAGTGTTACAAGCTCTTGGTGCATAAAGAAGATCTGCAAAGTTGCAAAGACTAAAGTCTCAAATCCAAAGAGATATTCTTTATAAAAGTTAAGAGTCAGCCACACCTACCTAAAACGGCTCGTTCGAACACGCCCCCACATACCTACTCGGTCAATCACAATGCACTGGATAGCTGGCCAATCAGAGCACACCTCGCTTTTTCAGACCGATGAGCTTTGTAAAAATCGACGCGTTTCAAAAAGGCGGGGCATAGAGGAGAAACAATAATGTACAGTATGTGGAAAATAATGTTGTTTTTTTTTACTTTAAATCACATAAACACATTTCATTACACCAAATACACCAAATAATGTTCTTTTTAGCAGCATCATATGACCCCTTTAAGTTCTATTTTCAGACTTCAAGAGAATAATGTGACACTTGATAAGTTAATGTGACCTGGTATAACAAGAACATCTATGGCAAGAGCTCTTTTCAGTCTGCTACATTCTTTTCCTCCTGATTACTTTCGATTTTCCTTTATTCTGTTGTAACTATATGAAAAAAGACAACAAACACAGTGCATCTGCAGTCTGCTCTCCCGATGGAATGTACTGGGAATCTCTAATTTTTCCACCCAAATCCTCACATCTTTTCCTACATTTGTTTTTGCACGGATGCTGTCAAATTTAATTGCTACATATGTAACATAACACAGACATCTATTACTACAGTTATGTTTAACATGTCCGTAATATTGCTGCCGACAGATTCAAGCTTTAGGAGGTTATTCATAGCCTTGTTAATGCTTTTACATTTTTAAATTTCCTTTTAATGTCCAATGGTTGAAGGGTGAGTACAATAATGTCACCTCATTGTACTTTGGTGATTGTTTTTGGAAAATTATTATTACGTTTATGCAGTGAACCTTACCGTTTTTTTTTTTTTTTATAGTAACAGAAAATACTGCCACAAAGCATTATGGGGAGTAGGAAAAAGGTGGAAAACCAGAGCACACGTTGCCCCACAATGCAATACTCTCAACTTGACCAATGAACGGGTATCTTACAACTGAACTGATTTTTTTTTTTTTTAAACCCTCATTAAAGGTCCCATATTTTACACCTTTCTGGAGTTTTATTTTAGGTTTTGATGTCCTTAATAATATATATTTGCGGTATAAGTACCAAAAACCATCTCAATATATTTTTACAGCTCCTCTCTCAGGAGCTCTGCTGAGAACAGGTCGATTTTGGCCCGTCTAATTAATATTCATGAGCCTCTCTTCTGATTGGCCTGTTGTTTTCTGAGTGACGCAAAGTTACAGGTCAGCCGATCTGGTTTCATGGTTAAAGTTAACCTTTTCGACATGTTTCCAAGTGGTTGTTGCTCAGTCAGCAATAGCATGGACGCAATGTTGTCTGGGTGTTTGGCAAAAGGAGAGTGGGACGGTGGGTGGTGCTCGGGGTGGTGACTGAAGGCGGTGACTGTGTAGTTCTGACGTCAACTTTTTACGGAAGTCACAACGGTTCGTGAAAAATCACAGCTACTTTATGCAGGCTGTGTGCATTTTACTGTGGACTGACTGTTTTGACACTTATATGGTAGTTAAATAGCCCCTAGACCTCAGATATCGTGAAAAAATCCAGGAAATTTCAGTTTTGACAACATGGGACCTTTAATTGATCAAAATATCTACAAATTCAACTACACCTTGCTGAATTACATATGCAATTTAAGCAGGTCATCTAGTATACATATGTTTGAAATGTTTATCACTGCATAATGTGTTCTGTCTCACACTATTTTAAAATAGAAGGCAATTGCACTACCATTTAAAGGTTTGGTGTTGGTAAGATTTTTTTTTTATGGTTTTGAAAGACATCTTTTGTGCTCACCAAAGCTGCACTTATTAGCAAAAATACTGCCATTTTCAATATGAATATATTTTCAAATGTTATTTATTCCGGTGATGGCAAAGCTGAATTTTCAGCAGCCATTACTCCAGTCTTCAGTGTCACATGATCCTTCAAAAATCATTATAATATGCTG